TTAAAGGTAGAGAGCCAATCAAATGGCAACAACTTCCAGGTGCCCCCATAAAGGATGGGAAAATTCACTAGTCCTAAACAAAAAAGAGCTGGGGATGAAAACCCATGGGCATTCACTTTCTGAAGCTCCCTACTCTCTCAGAGTAGCTGTCTATCTTCTCTTTTTTTGTCCTTTTCCAAATAAACTATCTTCTTTTAAACTCTGCCAGTTTAATTCATTAGTGTTGCTGAATTTATGATCCTGGTAGCTGTGTGTTCCAGCAGAGTAGTGGCATGATGTACAATGCTCCCTCCCACAACGTGACACAGACCATTCACTACAAACTAAACTACATATAGTTTTCTCAAATATGTAATGTGTGAGTTATCTTTTCTCACCTGAAAACTTTGAGACTTTTGCCTCAGTGCCTCCTCCATCTTTTTCAATAATACTTAATTATATTCTGGGACTGTGCATGAGTGACCAATTCCATCTCTTACTATGCCATTGGAATCATATAGTTTACTTCATTAATTTATTGTGATAATTTATTTGCACTTTACAAGTTGTATAGCAGTTTATTTTTTTCAACATAGCAAATAGAGGATGTGTAGATAGCAAATAGACTGTAATATTTTAGGCATTTTAGAGAGTTCTTTTAGTGTTATACAATGCAACACAAAATCTTATTTTATATAATGATAGATTAGAAATATTGAAAGTAGATGACAATCAGCAGTTTGAAATTTTTAAAAATTATATTAGAGAAAAACTCCCAAGAGACTTAAAATCACATTGAAAGCTGAGGGGGGCAGTAGAAAGTATTTATCAAATTACATATTTATTAGCCTAATGAAGTCTAACAATCACATTAGGAGGTCCTCTCCTAGTCATAGGAAAGAACCTCTCTCCTTGATAACTTTCTTTTTAAATTTGAAGTGGAAAAATGATATATGTACACAAACATAGATAGAAAATTAAGTGCTTTAAACTATGTTCTAAATCATGAAGAATAGACATGTATTAAAATCTTAGTGCCAGGGAAAATGAAAGTATTAGGAAAGAAATAATATATTGTCCCTCAAAATTTATATTGTTACAAAGAAAATTACACATTAGAAAATAAAAAAAATGTAGTGTTTATATACAATGGAGTATTACTCTGCCACAAAGAAAGATAAACTTGAGTCATTTGTAGGAAAATGGAAGTACCTTGAGACCATAATATTAGCTGAAATAAATCAGACACATAAACTGAAATATCACACTGTATATTTTATAAGAAACCCAAATTATAAACAAAGAGCAAATATAAGATAAACAATATGAAGTAGGGAGGTAGATCTTTTTTTTTTTTTTGCTTAAATTCTTTTATTGGTACATTTTAGGTATACAATACATTTACATTGATCATTGGGTACTTATACTTGTACATGATGTATCTTGGTTCTTATTTTTTTCCCATTCCCTGTTCTCCCTTCACCCACTCCACCCTTACCTATTTACAAAGACTTTGTTTCCATTTTTTCCTTTCCCTTCTTCCCTTTTCCCTTCCCTTCCCACTTCTCCTACACTTTTTGACCTTTTCTTCCTATTTCAAGTTATCAATTATTCATTTTAATCCTTATTTACACTTTCAGTTTCTCACACTAGAGAAACTATTCGGTATTTACATGTGTGTCCTATTTATTTCACTTAAGAGTATGGCCTCAATATGCATTCATTTAGCTATAAATGTCTCTAGTTTCTCCTACTTTATGGCCGAGTAGTACTCCATTGCATTAAAAAGCTTCTGCACTGCAAGAGAAACCACCAACAGAGCTAACAGACAACCACAGACAATGTGGGAAAAAATTTGTAGCAGCTGTACCTCAGACAAAGGACTACTGTCTAGAATCTATAAAGAAATGAATCTATAAAGAAATCTATAAATCTATAAATCTAGAAATCTATAAAGAAATGAAAAAAAAGACCCCTCCAAATTTAAAGACCCAATTCAAAAATTGGCATCTGAAATGAACAGACATTTCTCAGAAAAAGAAGTAAAAGCAGCAAATAAAAATATGAAAAAATGTTCAACATCACTGGTCATTGGAGAGATGCAAATGAAAACATAGCTGAGATTTCTCCTCACCCCAGAAAGAATGGCTGCTATCATGAAATCAACCAATAACAAATGCTGGCGGGGGTGTGGGGAGAAAAGAACCCTTCTCCATTGTTGGTGGGAATGCAGACTGGTGCAACCACTGTGGAAAACTAGGACTAGAGGTTCCATTTGACCCAGCTATTCCCTTGCTGTGTATCTTCCCAAAAGAATTAAAAGAATCATACCACAGTGGTATACGTGCACCCATGCTTATAGTGACACAGTTTGTAATAGCTAAAGCTTGGAAACAGCCCAGTGCCCATCAACTGGAAACTGGATAAAGAAGATGTGGTTTTTTTTTTTTAATAAAATGGAGATATGTTCCGTCCCGCGGGTAGGTCAACGAAGACCCTAGAGGGGGAGTGAGAATGACAAAGGACAAGGGACACGAGAGATGGAGACCAGACAAGTTTCTGATCAAGTCTCGTTTATTGCGGAAGCTGCTGCAGCATATATACCCTAGGGCTAGAGGGAAGGAGCAAGGGGAGGGTACTGGGGCTACTTCCTTGTTGCCGGGTAGACTTGCAGCAGGCCCAGACATGCCCGTAAAAGGCACTCAAGAGTTCTAGTGGGGGGGGCAAGGCCCCCCACAGAGATAGATCTTTCTTAATTGGGAATAGGATCAAGAAATGGAGAGATGGGGAGGGAGGGAGAAAGAAGGGAAGGCAAAGGAGATGAAAAGAAAAAAGAATTTAGATGTGTTTGTACATGTACCAATTCCACACAAGGAATGAAAACATTATGTACTGCAAACATGTACTAATGAAAAATAAGTTTTAAAAGAAAATACTAGTAATTATAGTCCATTGTTATTTGAACCCATAAGACAAAATTACTGACAATAAAGGGCAAAATAAGGCAAAAGAAAAGAGCGTATGAAAAACACACGAATAACAAAATGTCTATTAAGTCCAGCCAACCTAGAATTCTTTCCCCCTAGGATTTTTTTTTTACCCTGGAGAAAGTAATTAGGTGCTGGCTATCAGAATATAGAGTTGGCTAGAAACTCCCCCAGGGGAGGTAACAAAAGAGATGAAACAAAGAAACAATGAAATAAACTTTTTAATAATGGCATTTTCACATTGTGCCAAAACTCTTTTTATTGCCAATGGTGTTGAAAAGATATTGCTCTGAATGCTGTCACACACACACACACACACACACACACACACATATATTCAGTACATTAAATAATAATTAGGGTATTTAAAACATACAGTGATTATGAATAAATGGGTGAATTGGTACACACCTGGACAAGAATAGAGTTACAGGTAAAATAGAATCAAAGAGTCAGATCCTCATCTTTTAATACTTCAAGTATGTTGACATGTGCTTAGGTTTGCAATTCAGATGACAGGATCAAACAAGAGTGTGGATAATTATATTTTCAGTATTTTTGTGGGAATAAAATCTTTGTGGGTGTTCTAGTATTTTATTCTTAGTATGAGTTATTCTTGTAACTTCTTTTGTAAGAAACAATTATTTTATCACACTCTACCAATGCATTTAATAAGTCAACAGTCTTGGATCAAAATATTTTTGAATGTTCAATTAAAGAAAATATAAATAAGTGTTACCTTAAGGAAATTTAGTATATATCTAAGTCTTATTTAGTCATTTTCAATTTGCAGATAATAATAAAACAATTAAAAGTAATAATAATAATTGAAAGTAATAATAACCTTATAACATAGAACAAGCATTCAAGGATGATTAACATGATATGTTTATTGCAACATTTTGTTGTATTTTGCTCTCATATTAAGAAAAATAGAAGCTATATGTTACACATTTTGGTTTTAAGAATTGTATTGTTCTCATAACTGAATTTCAACCCACTAAAAGGGTAATTCTGCAAGAAATAAAATATTTATTATATATATTTTTGAAACTTTGAAAAATATTTCCCCCTTTTTTTGGATACTGGTAATTGATCTCAAGGGCTCACACTTTCCAGACAAGCACTTTACACTTATATACACATCATAGCTCCTTAAAAATATTTTTAAATGAAAATAAAATTACATACAAAGAATACTTAACAAATACACAAGTATTTCAATGGAATGATTGATATGCATTGATATTTGTAGAATATATTTGTTTACTATTATCAATTATCCACTGTACTAAATATTGCAGTTTTGAGAATTTACCAATAAAGTCAATGATCAATGACCTCAGAGAGATTATATTTCAAGATTTTACATAAATGATAAGTAATACCTTTAGAAATTAGTCTTTGAGACTGCAAAAAGAAAAGCCACATTAGGTTGTATTTATTTACTCATTTATTTTATGTTAATTGAGCTAATAGAACCCAGGAGAGCTGGGCCCAGTGTTATTCCCTAAGTAGTTCATGATTTTTATTTTATCTTTTCTTCATTTTTTATTTTTCTACTCTTTTAATACTCTGATGGAAAGCTTAGATAAATATAATTAGGTAAAAGTGATAATAAAGTTGCCTTTTGACAAAAGGTAAGTGAAAGTTTTCAGGGAAGCTGTAAAGGTAATTAATTGTTTAAAATGGAGCTAGCAAAATATTCAAGAGAAGTACATTAAAATTCATCTAGATGGACAAAGAAGTTTGTTGAACATATTTTAGATTCTTCTTCACATTATTAACACATAGAAAGACTGATCAGCTAATTCCAATAAAGGTCTATCAGCCCTGTTTGGAATTTAGGAAAATAATCCACAGTGGAGTACTGGTTTATTAAAACATTTTAAATTACTTGAGTTATATTAAACATATTCCTATGTGGGGACTGGGACAAACTATGAATATGGACTAAATTTCCTGAATTTCTTCCTATATTATATGGTCAGTGTATTGTCAAATTTGAGGTACTCACAATGAGCTTCATAAGCATTAAATATTTCCTTTGGAATCCATGTAGTAGCTTTTGAATCTTTTCACAGCATTTTTCATCTCTTTATTTCTCATTGTATAAATGATTGGATTTAGGAGAGGAGTAAAAACAGAGTAAAACACAGCAAGAAATTTGTCCAACCAAATGATGTTTAGTGGCCATACATAGATGAAGATACAGGGAACAAAAAGGAGCAATACGACTGTGATGTGAGCAGTGCAGGTGGACAGAGCTTTGGAGGCACCATTGTTAGAAGTTTGGAGGACAGTGATAAGAATATATGTGTATGATATCAGCAACACAGTAAAGCAAGTTACAACCACAAGCCCACAGTCAATGTTTATTAAAGTGTCCAAATTATGGGAATCCATACAGGCTAGCTTGATTACTAATGGGATATCACAGAAGAAGCTATCTATTTCTCTGGGTCCACAGAAAGGCAACTTCATAATTACAACCATTTGACTTATACCATGCACAAAGCCTATGTTCCAGGAAGTTAGTACCAAGCTAATGCACTTTTGCAGGTTCATGATGGTAGAGTAGTGGAGTGGCTTGCAGATGGCCACATAGCGGTCATAGGCCATTACCACGAGCAGTACCATCTCACTTGCTGCAGTGAAATGGGCAAAGAGGATCTGGCACATGCAACCTGCAAAGGAGATGGTCCTGTTTTCACTGATAAAGTCTGCAATCATCTTGGGAGTGGTGACTGAGGAAAGCCATATGTCCACAAAAGATAGATTGGCCAACAAGAAGTACATGGGGGAATGCAGAAAGGGGTCAGTGATGATTAAGATCATGATGAAAATATTTCCAGACAGAATCATCAGATAAAAAGTTAACGATATAACAAAGAGTAAGACCTGAATATTCCATGAGTGTCCAAGTCCCAGAAGCACGAATTCTGACACTGCTGATTGATTTCCTTCATGCATTTTATTCAGTGTGTCCTCTGAAATAAACTAGGCAGGATAGATTATTACTAGGATGAATAAAGGTTCTTAACTTTTAGAATTCTATATTTAATATCTATATCTGCAACTGAAAATTATAATTGAAATAAGAAATCTTAGTCAAATATAAGTGATTTTATGGCACAAAAAGAAGCAAACTGAATAAGGTTAACTTTGCTAGGAGGAGAGTGTGGGATGGGATTGTATGCAAATGATTTATTGGGAAACTACTCTCACAAGAAGGGAATCAAGGAAGTGAGGCAGCCAGGGAAGGGTGAAAAGATGATTGTAGTTACACCTGGAAACTAGCTCTGTCTTCTAGTTGAGAAAAAAAATCTGAGTGTGGCACTAACCATGTTTACACTACATAAGAAGTATAAAGCCATGTAGTTGCATAGATTATGTTGAATCAGCCTTGAATTTCAATATAAATAATGTGAAACAATGTTACAAGTTATTTTACCTGCATAACAATTCTTTCAAGCCTTGGTGGTATTTCTTCCATAAGATATCATAAAACTAAAATTAAAATGTTGGGACAATCTTTATGAAAATTTTATAGAAAGCCATAAATAAATACTTTGGCATGAAAATTTGCACAAAAAACAGGCATATAGTTTGTTATTAATTAAAATCCACAATACAGTAGAATTTATTTAGCAAAGTTAATGGATTAGGAAAAATATCAACATACAGTCATGTGTAGTAGTTTACCAAAAGTGGAAGACAATTTAGACTGAGATTCAAACTTGATGAAGTCAGAGAAAACATTAGTAGAAAACATTTATCTCCAATATTATCAATGAATGCTATGAAATCTGCAGGATCCAAACTATTTGAAAAGAATTAAGACATATTATGTACAAGTACCAATACCCTACAATGAGTGTAATCATTATGTACTGAAATATGTACTAATAAAAATAAAAACTAAAAAAAATTACTTCAGTCTCTAAGTCATGAGAGTTACATATGTTATCTGTTATGTATTACTTGTAAGATGAGAAGGAAATAATTCAACCTGAAGGCATAATGCATATTTAATGTTAGATCTGAGTGAATGTGAAGTTAATCTTCAATGAATATGATTATTCACCTCTAAATGAAATGAAGAATAATTCTCTTCAGGGAGCTTATGTTAGCCCTGGGATAACAGATTGAAAATTTAGAGAAAGGACATAAATCAAATTGCTCCTTTAGGAATATTAAAATACAGCAACAAAGATTTCATTTCCTTGTAGATGTAATGTTCTTTCATAAAGATTTTTTTTCTGTAAAATGCTAAACTCTATAGAATTCTTAAAACTTGTATTTTATAAGCATATACTATGGCTTAGAAAATTTAATAGACTTCATTAGATATATACTGATGAGACACACAGTTCTATTGCAGCAACTTGAGATGCCTTCTTTATTCCAAGGTTGTGAGTTTAAATCCTATTTCTGTAGGAGGCAAGTTTTAGACCCTTTGTCTTTAGATTTATAATACTTTTTAGCTCTATCTGTATGCTAAAACTTATCTTACACACTAATCACTCTCCTATATAAGAAGTTTTACCTTCATGAAATATAAGGACCATTCAAATAAGAATAGCTAGAAGCTGCTCATATTGATTACCAGGCAAAAAATTGTGATCTGTCTACCTAAGCTAACCCTGAGGCCATGCATTTTGGTGGTGTTAACTGTTGTTAAGACTGCAGACTTCACTCCAGAAAGAATGGCTGCTATTAGGAAATCAACCAATAACAAATGCTGGCTGAGTTGTGAGGAAAAAGAAACCCTTTTCCACTGTTGGTGGGAGTGTAGACTGGTGTAAGTACTGTGGAAATCAGTATGGAGATAGCTCAAAAAACTAGGATTAGAGGACCCATTTGACCCAGCTATTCTTTGGCTGGGTATCTTCCCCCCGAAATTAAAAGAATCATACCACAGTGACACATGTGCACCCATGTTTATAGCAACACAGTTTGTGATAGCTAAAGCTTGGAAATGGCCCAATTGCCCGTCAACCATTTTTTTTTTTTTTAATAAATGCAAGTACTTCTCAGCCATAAAGAATAAGAAACTAGAGAAATTTATAGCTAAATGGATGCACATTGAGGCCATATTCTTAAGTGAAATAAATAGGACAAACATGTGTAAATACCAAATAGTTTCTCTGGTGTGAGAAACTGAAAGTGTAAATAAGGATCAAAATGTATAATAGATAATATAAAATAAGAAGATAAGCCCCAAAGGGAAAGTGGGAGGCATAGAGAAAGGGAAAGGAATAAATATGAGAAAAGGAAAAAATGATAACAAAGTCTGTGTAAATATGGAGGTGTGGAGGGGTTGACGGGAGGGCAGGGGAATGGGTAAAAAATAAGAACCAAAGTATATCATGTAAAGGTACAAATTCCCAATGATGAATGTTATCATATTGTATACCTAAAATGTACCAATAAACTTAATGAATTTATAAAAAAAGTCTACAGAAATTCCATTAGGTAAAGAATAGCTAAAGGAAACCCATGAATTCCCTTCTGAAAATGTTGCAAGCTAAAGAAGTTGTTCTCAACACCAAAAATCATGGGCATCCTTAAAACAGGTAGATAGAAATAGCATTAAATTGTCAAAAAAAGAGAATCAGAGATATGAGATAACTTACTAACCACAATTTGTAGTCATATCAGATTCTTTTTCAGTCTTTTCTTCTGATGTGTGCTTGGGATGATTTGTGTGGATTCACACATTTTGTGTGGAGACAGGATTTGTGGAAGTGCTCTCCTCACCCTGGCACATATTCACCACCTGAAGCTGTCTCTTGGGTCAAATTTACCTCTTCTATGTTTGGAACAGTATAAGAACCAGGGAAATAATGATCTTGGACATCTCTTGGGAATGTCTTTGTTAAGAGTGATTCAGGTATTGCAAACTTTTGAAATCAGAACAGACAGACAAGTAAAGCCTGATATAAGTGAGTCCAGCATTAAAAAAATTATTTGAGTTGTTAAAATTATTCATTTAGCTAATATGTATTAAAGAGATTCTTGTAGAGTCTTGACCTGTAACTGCATCTATATAATCAGATTCAAATAAAATGCTAAATGTGGTTTGGGTGTAATGATCTAATGAATGTCAATGTTGTCTAAATAGACAGATGATTTAGGTCATATGACTGGTGCATTTCAAAAATCTATGATTAAAATGGGAATTGACAGTTATGAACTGCATGTCAAAGTATTTATTTATTTTTAGTACATGTTTGCATTACTTAAAGTTTACATTCCTTGTATGGAGTTGGTACGTGTACACAACATATCTTAATTTCTTTTTCATCCTCTATCACAGCCTTCCCTCATCTCTTCCTCAATCTCTTGGTTTCCTTCCAAACTGAGAAAGATCTATCTCCATATTTCCTATTATTTATCTTTATTTTGCTCTTTATATACGATATGTGATTCTCCTGTAAGAGAAATCATGAGATACTTCAGCTGTGTGTCTAATTTATTAAACTTAAAATTATAGTCTCAAGGTGCCTCTATTTTCCTACAAGTGACGCAAGTTTATTTTTCTTTATGGCAGAATATAGTCCATTGTGTATAAATATTACATTTTCTTTATCCATTCATCTGTTGGTGGACATATAGAGTTCTTCCAAGATTTAGCTATTGTAAATTGTGGTGCTGTAACATGGTTAATCTGATAGGTCTCCCACTACCTCAGCAGCTATTATGTATAGTAGCTGTCCTCTTCCTATCTTGCCTTGCCCCCTCCCCTGTGTGACATCATGCCAAGATGGTTGCTCCCACCAAAGAATAAACCCTTCTTCCCAGCATGCCCCTGTTCCCACCTAGAAAGTGATACTCACTCACCTCCTACCACCTAGTGACATCACCGGCTCCTCCATTCCCTAGCCACTACCTCACGCAACCCCACCTCAGCCCCTACAGACCCCACCCCAGTCTCTATAAAAGACTCTCTCTGCCCGGCCATATTGCTTTTGTCTCTCCTTTGTTCAGAGACAGCCTGGCAGATCTAGTCCCCTAATAAAGGCTTGCTGTGGCCTGGTCTGGTCTTGGTTTTCGGCCCTTTTACCTGACATAATCAGTATAATATGATTTCTTTAACTAATTCAGGAAGATACCTAGAAAGGGAATACTCAGTCAAATGTTATTTTTAGGTTTAGGTTTTGGAGGAATCTCTGTACTGATTTGCATAGTAGGTATACTAGCTTATATTCTCACCAACAGTGCAGAAGGGTTCCTTTTCCCTGCAGCCTTACTAGCATTTCTTATTATTTGATTTCTAAAAGATGCCTATTCTTTTGGGGTAAGATGGATTCTCACTGTTGTTTTAATTTACATTTTCTAATGGGCAGTGATGATGAACATCTTTTCATATATTTACTGCCACTTGTATTTCTTTTTTTTCTGAAGTGTCTGTTCATTTCACTTGCCCATTTTTTTCTGTTTTGTTTTTTTGTTTTGGTACCAGGGATCAAACTGATGACCTTGTGCTTGCAAGGCAGGAGGTGGAACCACTGAGCTAAGTCCTCAGCCCTGCCCATTTGTTTGATTGGGTCTTTTATTGGGGGGCACCTAAGTTTTTTAGATCATTATATATTTTAGATATGAGTCCTCTGTGAGAAATAGCTAGAAAAACAAAAACCTTTTTCCATTCTGTAGGCTATTTTTTCACTCTGTTAATTCTTGCTATTGCTGTGAAAAAGATTTTTAATTTGATGTGAATCTACTTGTTGATGTTCAGTACTATTTCCTGTGCAAACAATGTTCTGATCAGAAAGTCCTTGCATATGACTATTATTGTAGATAGGTAAGTTAGTTGGACATCTTGTAGGTAGATAGGGCCAGCCTCAAGGAGCCAACATGGAGGACAAACTTGGAGGACAATGGGGGAGCCAAAATGGAAGACAATTGAGACACATTCACTGCAGGCAGCATTGTAAAAGAAGAGAAACTGCTGCACCCCTTGCTTCCCCTAG